CCCTTTGAATTTCTCCTATTTCAGATGCTGAGCTGGAATAAAAGCACTCTCAGCAAGCTTAGGAGGGATATTCCCCAGCTTTTCTCCACAGGCTGGTGTGTGGCAGAACAAACAGAGCCCCGTTTCAACTCCCTGGAGCTGCAGGACCCACAAAGGAAATTTCCTGCTCTCATTGAGAGGCAAAGCTTTATTCCTGTGCAAATAAAGAGGGGCTGCAGCCCTGGCTGTGCAAGGCCTATTCAAGCTGGCATTTCCATGCCTTTGCCCGGAGAAACCCTCAGAAGGCAGGAATGTGAGGAATGAGGCTCGCTCAAGTCTGAACAGACAACCCCAGCCAGGCTGCTCCCTCTTTTTTCGTGTTCCTCTGCAGATTTGAAGCCGTGCCAACCCTCGAAAACAGAAGGAGAATGTGGAACTGGAGCCATGGTATTTGTGGGGAGAGAGAAAAAAAAAAAAATTAAAAAAAAAAAAGCCTATTTGCGTTTGGGATTCTGTTCCTGCAAAATTAAAACATTTTTGGCAAGGACAACATGGGTGTTTTGTCAGTCTTATCAAGGAGCTGATGATAAGGCTGTAGTTCATTTAGTTCATTTTCCTTTGTGCTGGACATTTATTGCAGCTGCAATCCTCCTTTTTTTTTTTTTTTTTAATTTGTTTGGCAGCTTCAATCATTTCAGCCAAAAATACTTGCAACACATAAGGATGGTCTGCTTTTGAAACCTTATGTTTCACACAGAGTCCAACAAAAATCCAGCTTTTTAGTCTGAAATAAAACCCCTCCCCAGCAATATGGTTGGGTTTGGCCTAGAGGGGATGCCAAGCTCAGCTTTTATCTTAATAAAGACCAGAATTACATCATTAAAATGTTTAATTTTGGGGTGGTTTAGCAGCACTTGAAGGTGCTGGATTGGGGAGAGGTGTTTGGCTGGAAGATTCAGCTGCACATCCTGAGGCAGGAGGGCTCAGTAACAGGCAGGATTTTCCTATTTCCACACCAGCAAGCAGCCACCAGGAATTAGGCTTTGGAGCCTTTTAGAGCCCAGTCAAGTGAAAGAACAACAGATGAACAGCAGCATTCTCACTCCCAAACCCTTGGGCTCACTAATTATCCCAGAAATCACAGCAAACACTGCCTGCTCTCCAAGGAGCTGATTCAGGGCTGATGGTTTCCCTCCTTCAAAAAAAAAAAAGAAAAAAAAAACAAAACCAGAAAACCTGCACTGAAAATCCACCTCAACCATCCCAGTTTATCTCCAAGCACAGAGATACCAAAATATTCAGTTTTTTTGTAGGATCACACCTCCAAGGGAAAACTTTAGGAAGGCACTTGGCATTCCCAGGTATCAATTCTTATTAACTTGTAAAAGTAGTAAGAAAACCCTGCTAAAATGGACAATTAAAACCAAAATTCAACAAGAGTACTTGGAGGCAAAGACAGCAATTGGACTTTTCCTTTGCAGTCCTTACTGCCAGGGAATTTGGGGAATTAGCAACTTTAATTCCTCCCAAGTTTCAGCTTTCTCCCGAAAGGTTTCAGCACGAAACTTTCCAATTAATTTCTGCTGGTACATGGACACTGAGCACATTGTATACAGCAAAAATCACAGCAAAACCAACTTGACTCTCAGCCCCAAGGCCCTTCTGGATTTAATTACTTGCTAATCCCCAGCAGTTGTAAGTATTTCTGGCCCTGGTGAGAATTATTTTATTGGTTCAAGCAATAAAGAAACCCCCTAAAACAAATTTTAGGGAGACACAGGTACGTACACCCAATTAATGGCATTTCTAAGCCACAGCTGCTGCTGCCCTAGCAAGAAATATAAATATCAAAGGAGCCAAAAAAACTTGATAAATGCAGATTAGATGGTAGATAAAGGCAGCTAATACAGATATTTTTTTTCTTCACAGTGGCCCTGAAAGCACCAGATGAAGCTTTAACCTGGAGAAACTTTTAATATTCCACCTCACACAAGAAGCAGAGCTCCTAAAGAGCTCAGGACCGCCACATGTTACCACAGAGCAGAGTAATTTATGGTGCAGTGAGATTGCAACCAGACATTCCTGCTTTGAGAGAGGGCTGGTAGTCCCAAACCCCATTGAAATTCCACTTGGCAAGTGCTTCCCTTAATGCTGTGGCTAATTTAAATCCTTCTAACGACTTGCAGAACCAGACAGCACCAGCAAACATTTGAATAATGAACCTCCCCGTTCCATTCCACTCTTACTTGTCCCATATTCCTGTGGGCAAATCCAAGATGCAACAACAACTCCTCAATGAATTTTCAAATTTTCTATCAGCTGCGTGACACCTACAAGTTCTCTGGTGAAAACACATTATTGTCGTTGAATATAAAGAATTACAGACCAAAACTGTGGCAGCAGGGCCTGTTCTCACCCTCACACAACTATTTTAACCAATGGCCACAGCTTTTCTGATTTTCCCAGGGAGCAAAAGAGGAGTTGGAGGTGGCAGTACATCCTTGCAAAGGATTCGCTGCAAAACCTAATGATCAACTTTGATTCAAGGCTGTTAAATGCTCCCAGTTAAAAAAAAAAAAAAAGAGTTAAAGATGAATACAAAATACTGATTGAGTCATCTTGGAAGTATCTGCAGCATATTCCAAAAAAACCTCAATTGAACAGCATCTTTTCCCCCTCCCAAGAGAGGGGGGAACCTGCAGCCACCACCTCCCCCGTGTTGCAATGATCAGCCATCTTTTGAAGTTAATTGGATTTAGTCCTGCTTCAAAAATGCCATTCAGACATCTCTTCCAACTCAGCAGAGGAGCAGGACAAAGACTTGTAAAAATTAAATTACCAAGACTTTCAGATAAGGCTAAAACACTCCCTTATCTCCTGCCGTCTGTTATCAGCTGATGAGATTTTGCTCTGGGTTAATGGGCTTGGGCAGAGCTGGGTTCTGGCACTGGCTGGGAAGGGATGTTGGTCACGGAGCCAGAATTCCTCATGGAGAGTCCCACAGCCACAGGATCCACTCAGCAGCACCAAGCACGGGGGCTTCTCAAGCATCTCCTCTTCACTTTGGGGTGCCACGCAAATAAATCACCCACTCGGTCCCAAGCTTCTGGGTTCCAGGACACAGCACAAAGGCCGGCAGGTGTTTGTTCTTCCACTGCTTTTGTCTTTTGAAGCGCTAATTTCCTTCCATGGGTGTCTCCAGCCTCTGACAAACAGATTCCAAACCTTCCCACGTCCAGCCCGTGTGTGTGCTGTATGTTTAATAAAGATAACATTTTCCAAAATAACTAATAATTTTTAATAAGCCCTTGCTCCATAGTTCCAGGCAGCTTAGTAATCAGCATGAAAGCTCCAACCAGACATACTCCAGAAATCTGCAAGTCTCACTTGGCATAAGATGAAGAAAAAAAAAAAAAAAATATCAGCTCAGAGCAAAGCTGATACTGGTTGTGGGCAGAGGCTGCCTTTTCCCAGTAATCGTGTTGCAAGAATTTGGAATCGTTTCCTCAACAGCAAGAGGGAAAGCCAACCCGCCGCCTAAACTCCTCTTTTAAACAGGGATTAACATTTTCATTCCTGGTAAAAGAGCTGCTGTCGCACTGAGCTGAGGAGGAACTGCCGGGTCCAAATTCAGCATTAACGAGCCATCTACACAGAGAACGAGAGGCACTACGCGTTCTGCCAAGTTCCCGCAGGTTTTTTTTTGCCCATCAGCTCTGCAGATGATGTTGATGGACACCTCTGGTGATAATGGATCCTGGTGTCAT